ACAGACTTCGCCTCCCCTGGGGCACAGGGTCAAGGGTGAGTTTCGATTGCTGCTTCCACAACTGTTCCCTGGACCAATTCTGAACGTGACTTTTCCTGAAGCCACATGATGGGGTGGTTTCCTGGAGCTGGAGGAGGCGGAGACCCTGAACTTGAGCTCACCTCCTACCACAAGAGGGAAACTTCCTGGAACTTTGCCCCCAGGTGTGTAGGGAGAGGAGGTCACTGGCATTCTGGGGGGGAGGGGTGCTGCTGCAGAAATCCAGGTGAGGGACCCCATGGGTTCCTGCACACCTCCTCAAAGGGACACTGCACTGGCTCATGGGTCCAAATTCGGGGAGCAGGTAGGGAAGCTGTGGTAGGACCTAAAAGCAGTCAGCTCTCTTCTCCCCTCCTACTGGTATTTAAGAAGGACAAGCCCCAGAGATGAGTCCTGGAGCTTTGAATTTTGTTTAAAAAAATAATAATTGTAGGTTTCTCTCTTTGTAATAAACAATGCTGCAAAAGCAGAGAACCTACTTATGCTTTTGTCTTACATTTCCTGAGGACTGTTTCTCATGCCTTTATTCCCTGCCTGTAAGTGAAGTGCTCAGGGTTCCTTTCAAGCGTCAGGAAGGGTCCCCAGGGGGTGCCTGGCTGGCTCAGTCGGTAGAGCACGTGACTCTTGATCCGGGGGTTGTAAGTTCAAGCCCCACATTGGGTCTATAGATTATTAAAAATAAGATCTTTTTTATTAAAAAAGAAAGGGCGTTGTCAGTATAAAAATACAGCAAAGGAAGAGGCTAGTTTCAGCTCAGTGGTCAACAGAGAGACCATCAGGGGCTCTAGAGAGTGGAGGAGACCTTTGGTGACTGACCCCACAGTTGCGGGGGTTTGGTTTAGGATCAGGACTCAAATTCTCATTCCACCGCTTAGTAGCTGGGTGATTTGGGGAATACTTTTTTTTTTTTTTTTTTAGAGAGAGATTGAGAGCATGAGAGGGAAGGGGTCAGAGGGAGAAGCATGCTCCCTGCTGAGCAGGGAATCCTGATGCAGGACTCGATCCCGAACTCCGGGATCATGACCTGAGCCAAAGGCAGTCGCCTAACCAACTGAGCCACCCAGGCACCCTGGGGAATACTTTTTTTAAAAAACGTTCTCTGAACTTCCAGTTCCTTTTCTGTAATAATATGTATTTCATGGGAATGGTCAGTATTAAGTGCCCCATAAGCAATCCTATAGTAGGTGCTCAGTTAATATTGGTTTCCTCCCCCTTCCTTTATTAAGGAACTCCACCATAGCCCACAGCTTCTGGTTAAGGAAGAGGAAAGAGTGTGCTCTCTGTGCTGTTAGATCCAGATCTTTCTCAAGCCCCAGGAGCTGGGAGCTAGAAAAAAATTGGACACATCTCTGGAGCTCTTGGAGGGAACAGGGAGAAACCAAGGTGGCCACTAAGCAATGTGATCCTGCAGCTTCCAGGTCAGCTCCTTGCAGGCTGTCGGGCCACCCCACCCCAGGGAGTGTTGCTCAGGAAATTCATTACCAAAACAAACAGACCCGTACAAGGGGACCTTTGTTGGGTGGCTTCACCCAGGCCAGGGAGAGCTCTGAGGATGAGTGAGGGACACCAGGAGCTGGAGGGAGGGAAGGCAGGCTGGTTCAAGCATGCCCAAGGCCTCTTCCCCTATCCCTCCCACCACATAGAACTTTCTAGGGTCCGTCTGATTACCCAATCCATAAAATGTCCCATGGAGGAGCTGCCTTCCCCCCTACTCTAGCCCTGCCCACTGTGAATAGCCAGGGTTTGCAGAGAGCTTACAACGGACCAGGCCCTGTGGCAAGTACTCCATGAGGTTCCTTGGTCAGTCCCCTCATCACCTGAGACAGGTGCTGTCATTATCCCCAATTTCCAGCTGAGTTGAGGCTGGGAAGTGAAGCCACCTGCTCGCCACAGTGGAGCTGGGACTGAAGCCAGAGCTGGCCTATGCAACGACTGCTGCCCACAGCCCCCTCCACGCTTGATTCCGCCTCTGCTCGGGGGATGGGAAACTGGGGCTCAGAACAAAGAAAGCAGTCCAGTCACCTTCTGCAGAAGGGGAGGTAGGGTGGCAGAGGGTAATGCCTGGGGCTCGGAATCCTGATTCTGGCACCAATGGGGGAAAGCTAACCAGCTCGGAGGCTGAGTGTCCTCTGAGACACCAGACCAGAGGGGCCTGCCACTTCAGCCCATCCTGAGGTTCCTTGACGGAGGTGGTGGCTGGGAATGAGGCTGGGCCTGGGCCACCAAGCCCGGCTTCTACCCAATACTGGCACCACACGGCCACTATTACCCCTCTTAGGTGAGGGGGTCTACGGCCCCTCTGCCTGGTGCGTGAGATCCTGCTCCAGCCTTTAAGTGATGTCCGCAGGAATCTTCCAGGGAACCCCCACATATATCCCTAAGCTGGGAGGCAGGGGGTGGGTGTGTGCTAAAAGCCAAAGGGCAATCTGGCTGGCCAGGGAGTCAGAGGGAGGCAGCTGCAAGCTTTCATGAGGCCAGAGGAGGAGGAACCGAGAGTGCAAATATGGGCAGGAGCTGTGAGAGGCTACGGGTTATCGGCCACAGTTTCACTGGGACACGACCCAACAGGGGGATGGGGGAGGCAGGAGGGGCCGGCTCCAACTGGCCTGCACTGCCCAGGAGGAGCCAACCCTGGGCGGCGGGCTCCCCCTGCTGGCCGCCCTACCTCTAGGAAGAGGAGGAGTGAGGTGGGAGGGGTCCCTTAAACCCCCCAACTTCCCTCCTTCCTGGGCTGGTGGGGGATGGGAGGATGCGACCAGGCCAGGTTGAACATTAATGTCACACACGGCTGACGAAGTTTTATTACAGACTTGGCACAGTGATTGTCAAAGAACAGGAAAGGGACAGCTGAAAGCAGGCTCAGAGCTAGGGGGTGGGGGATACAGAGCTCCTAGTAACGGGACAAGGTACAGAAGGGCACCCCAGCACCCTCTCCTTCAGTGGCCACAGGGTTAGCATTGTGCCTTCCTGCACTTGGGTTTACGAGGGCGATCAACACCGAGAGGGCCTCCCTTGGAGGAACCACTTAATGGCAGACGCTGAAGCAGAGCACACACCCACACAGCGGAATGAAACCGTGTACAGACTTGGCAAGTTCCATGCCAACACGTACAAATAATAGTTCTTGGATTCTGGCTTAGTCACAGCAAACATTTACCCAGCCTGGCCTGTAGGCCATTCATTGAAGTTGTCCTTGTCACCAGACTTGTGCTCAAGGAGTGTGCAAATACAGTTCAGCCCAGCCTTGATGAAGAATCCAGTGGTGAGGGTGGGAGGTCGTTTGTTTGTGGAAGTTGGGGACAATGCATCTGGTCACTGGCGGGGGGGGGGGCGCTTATTAAATGCAGAATGGGATTCATGGGTCTGAGGTGGGCTCCCAAGTGGTGTTGCTGCTGGTCTGTGGACCACACCGAGTAGATCTAAACCCGGGGTCTCAACTTTTGGCTGCACAGAATTCCCTGGGGAGCTTTTAAGTTTCCCAAAGTTCAGACATCACTCAGACCAGTGAAATCACGTGTGATTAAAGCTCCCTGGGTAAGTCCAGGATGGATGAAAACCTGTGTCTCGGAGTCATCATCCATAGAGGTGGGGAGTTGGTGAAGGGGATGCATGAGTAGTCAGAAAGGTATCATCTCGGGCGCCTGGGTGGCTCAGTTGGTTAAGCGACTGCCTTCGGCTCAGGTCATGATCCTGGAGTCCCGGGATCGAGTCCCGCATCGGGCTCCCTGCTCGGCAGGAAGTCTGCTTCTCCCTCTGACCCGCCCCCTTCTCATGCTCTCTCTCTCTATCTCATTCTCTCTCTCAAATAAATAAACAAAATCTTAAAAAAAAAAAAGGTATCTCTGTAACAATTTTATACCTGGAAAATGAAATATACATATGTATGTGTATATACGCACATACGTAGCTCTCAGAAACAAATATGTAAAGTAAAGCTTCATTGAAATCTGCCTGGCTCGTAGGTACCAGCACATGAATCCCTTCTATAAAACTCCTGACTACCAGGGATCGAATACTTCTGGAGACACTTGCTACCTAACAGTCCACTCCCCCTTAGGCAGCCCTGGTTGTCTGAAGTCTCTCCCCGAACTGAGAGAGGAAAATCTATGTTCATGCAACTCCCACCTCTGGGTTCTTTGGAGCTCCAGAGAATACATTTCATCTTTTCTTTTTTTTTTTTTTAAAGATTTTATTTATTTATTTGAGGGAGAGAGAATGAGAGACAGAGAGCATGAGAGGGAGGAGGGTCAGAGGGAGAAGCAGACTCCCTGCCGAGCAGGGAGCCCGATGCGGGACTCGATCCCGGGACTCCAGGATCATGACCTGAGCCGAAGGCAGCCGCTCAACCAACTGAGCCACTCAGGTGCCCACATTTCATCTCTTTTCCACGTTGTTGTGCTTCAGATAACGGGAGGCAGTTATCAGTGGGGTATAGGGCTATAAAAATATCCTAGTAGTAAGTAAGTTAATGAGGTTTCCTTTAGTTGCAAGCAACAGAAAGTGATTCTGGCTAGTTCAAGCCAAAAACTTCCTTTAAAAAACAAACACCAAAACAAAACCAGGGATAATGGGTGTTTTGAGGCAGGAGGAGGAGTTACACAGCCCAGACGTGGGAAGGCAGGATCCAAGGTCACTCCGGGAGTTACAGGAACAGCACCTGGAGGCTTGCTTCTTGGCTGCCATCACCACTGTAGGACTTAGCTACAATGCCTCTCATGCTCTGGGTCTCTCCATTTCAGATTTCAAATTGTTGACAAGAAAAGGACGGATCGGCCAGATTGGCTCAGGTGGTTATGCTGGAACCAGTCAGCTTCAGGCAGTATGACTCAATCATACCCTAGTGGACAGGGCCGCGGGGGGGCCCACCCAGGGTCTCTAGAAAAGGGAATCACGCCAGCTACTACCTCTAGAGGGAGCTATTCCAATAAATCATATTCAAGGTCAAGAAAATAATTACGGGATTTTTTTTTTTTTCCCCCATTTGTGATTCTCTACGCCACTGTTTATGCTCCACTAGACTACCTACTTGAGAGCCAACCGAAAATACAGAATTCGGAGCTTGAACTCTGAAGAGCCTTAAATATAAGGGGTGGGGAGGGAAATGGGCTGAGTTTAGAAGGGTCCCACTCGCCATCCCACACCCTCTCTTAGCACCCGGCCCCAGCTCCAGTTGGTACCAGCAGATTGGAAGTCAGGGTGCAAGTCTCTCATAGAGCCAGTCTTCCTCCCCACGGTGGGTCATGGACCCCAGAGGGGAGTCTTCTGTTGGCAGGCCCCGCCGAAAGATGATCCGGTCATGCAGACGATTGGTTTGGCCTTGCCAGAACTCTACCACTCGCGGGTACAAGATGTAGCCACCCCTTCAAGGAGAGGCAGTGGGTTTGGTACTCTGTGCATTTTTCCAGCAGGTCACCCCCCGGTCCCCACCCCAGCCCATCTCAGGGCCCCTTGAAGGAAGCTGCTGGGATGAATCCAAAGAGGATTCCTGGTGGGGGATGGGGGGAGTAGATCTGTAATTCTGCAGGTAGGAGTGGTTTTGAGTAAACATGAGGGTTCTGGGGCCCCTGTCTGGACGACCACCAGATATCACTCACCAGTACTTTGGCTTTGGCACCTCTTGTTCTCGGTAGAGCTGCTCCAGTTCCTCATTTTTCTTTCTCAGATACTGTCCAGGGGAAGGAAATAGAGGAAGGCCCGGACCGGGTCAGTGATCACTTAATAACCATTTACTAAGCATGTGCTGTGTGCCAGGCACTGGGGACACAGGTGAGCAAGGGAGGCTGGCCTCTCTCCTCTGGGAGCACAGTCCAACCAGAGGGTCAGACAAAGGAAGCCCATTTCCCCCTCTCCCCCAGGGAGACCATCCTTTCATTCTGCTGGAGAGACAGGGCCCTGGCACCCCCAGGGGACAGCTGTTGGGGGATGAGCTAAGGCCCCTGCCACCCAGAGAACTAAGGAGGAGCCCAACTCACCTCCCGATCAGGGATCACAGAACTCTGGCGACTGACCACAGCCCCAATCTGGCTGCTCTTGGGGCGGGAGTGAAAGTAGCACTCAGCCTCCTCTTCAGGCAGCTTCTTCACGGAGCCCTCCACGCGCACCTGCTCAAGGACGGCCCTGGCTAGATGGCATTCAATGCCATCTGCCCTCCCCACCAACACAGGCCCCCTTCCTCTCTTTCTTCCCTTCTCCACTGCCCCACCACTGCTGGCTCCAACTAGACCAGCTCATTAAGAGCTATTTGAGAGGCAGGCTGTTTGCCCAGCCTGGGGCCCTCCACTGGGCGCATCCATAACGAGGCCCAGGCCGTCCTGGGAATGCTCACTCACCTGACGGTTGAGGGGCTCCCAGTAGAAGACAAGGGAAGCAAAGGGATTGGAGTCCTGGAAATGAAAGAGAATTCAGTCGGCCATCCGAACAGCAGGGAGAACACCTCCACCATGCAGAAAGGAGGCAGGAAGTCTGCAGTATGCAGGCCCGCAGGGGATGCATTCACTGTCACATCTCATTTAAACCCTCAAAGGTATGCCTACTTTTACAGGGGTGGAGACAGACTCCGAGAGGTTAAGGAACCTGCCCAAGTTCACACAGGAAGTGCTAGAGCTGTGCTGAAAACCTAAGCCAGATGGACACCAAAGTGAGGCTTGCCATTTCTCTCATCCATAGATTTGCAAGTCCTCAGAAATGCATCTGCGGCCGGCAAGGACTCGGGGAGTCCTTTGGATTCATGAATCGAATGTACACTAAGTATCAACTCTGGGCTTGACACCATGAGAGGTGCCGCGGGGACAAGAGGGGTACACCGGACGCAGCCTCTGCCTCCTCAGAGCTTACTGGGTGTTTAGCAGAGGAGACAAATATCCATCACATAAGCACACAAACAAATGCACACTTATAAACTGAAAAAAAGGCAGAAAATAAAGTTACGAGTTACCACGAAGGTGAACAGCTGATGTGGCATGGGGATCAAGGACTTTCCCAAGGAGGCAACACGGGGGCTGAGGGCCAAAGGGACAGGAGCTACTTAGGGAAGCAGATGACGGAGGCGGTGTGGTCAGAGAGAGCACTCATTCACGGCAAAGAGAAGGGCAAGTGCCAAGGCCCACAGGCAGGATGGTGCCTGAGCACAGCCAGCAAGTGGGTTGGGGCGGGGGTAGCACCAGAGGGTGATGAAGGAAGCCAGGGCTGGCCCCTGCAGGCCCCTTACCAGCTCTTTTCCCTTCCGACTCTCGAAGTTAGTGAAGAAGCGGAAGCCGTCCTTGCCAAAGCCCTTCAGCAGCACCATGCGGGCAGAGGGTTTTCCGTCTCTGGGGCAAAGACCAGAGCGTGTGGTCAGAACCCACATCACTGTCCTTGCTACCACCTCTCTCCCCAGGTGCTCCCCTGAGCTCCCCACACCTGTGCCCCCTTATTCTGCACTGTCTGGGCATGCAGGCTACCCATCCCCCCCCACCCCCCACCCTGGGGATTTGTCCTAGAGGTGCATGTATGACATCGCTGCCTGGGACCTGTTATGGACTGAACTGTGTCTCCCTAAAATTCTAGGTTGAAGCCCTAACCCTCAATGTGGTTGTATTTGGAGATAGAGCTTTTAGGGAGGTAATTAAGATTAAATAAGGTCATAAAGGTGAGACTCTAATCCAATAGGCCTGG